TTTTTTATATTTTTACCATGAGTTATTGTGTTGAAGTGTGAGGGGATATATATGTGACTAATATAAAAACATTAACCCCTTTAAAATATGCTTTAGTTCACATTTTAATCCAGTAAGTCAGTAATCAACATATAAACATCATCTGTGCAAAGATTTATCCTTCTGAAGTGAAACAGTGAAAAATGACTGCACTTTTAATAAATACATATTCTGGCATTCCGTACTTTGTCCAATTTTGAAAAACTTTGGACACCATATGTGCCATGCAGCAGAATTGATCACCAGCTGCCTTTTATTATCACACTAAACCTTAAAGAAGACTAAATCCTGCATCAGAGTAAGTAGTTTGGATCTCTCCCATATGTTTCATCAGATATTAATAAGTATCAGAAGCGTGCCATCTAGTCTGCAAGGGCTTAGTCTGCATTCCTAATCTGATTCCTAATCAGATTAGGAATGCAGGGTTGGGGCTTTCCTATCATCATTATGCTAATGTGATTAATATGGTTTGTCTGTCTTCCTGCCCTTAACCCTGATTGGTCCTGCCAGATAGCTGCCCCACCCTAAGCATGGTTCTGTGGAGGTTTCTTCCTGTTTAAAGCCAGGTTTTCCTTCCTACTCTCACCAAATGCTGGTGATGATTGTGGTTTTACTGGTCGCAGTCATGGAGGGAGTGGTCTTATTGGTTGGCTCCTACATTAGGGAGGTGGGGTTGGGGCCTCCCTATCACCATTATGCTATCGTACTTAAACAATAAATAGCATTTACAACACCACCATCTTCAGATAGAAAAACACATATTGGAACGCTATCAGTTGTGGATTGGCCTCCCCACAGCCTCGACATCAACATTAGTGAATAGTGGGGATCATCTTGACAGAGAAGGGAACAAAAGGCAGCCAGCATCCAAAGAAGAGATTTGAATGTCCTTCAAGAAGCCGAACGAATGAAACTATTCCTGAAGAATACTTTCATTGTAATTAAAAAAAAAAACAATTAAAGCAAAGGTAGTTGTCAGTTTGGGTGTTGCAGTCCTTTAACAATCAAGGAAAAAAGTTGTAAATCCACAATTTAAAAAAAATGTTTTTATTATAAATAATCCTGTGTGGATTAGTTACTTACACATCAAACCAATGTTTTACAGGCAGAACATTGCTCATCTGAGTTTTTACAAACCCAGAGTGAAATTCAGACAAGTTCAGCTTTCGTCACCTGATCAGTACGCCACTGAAGCAGACGATTCACCGTGAGAAATTGGCATTTCTTGCTCCAACTGTCCACAATATGAAAGTCACAGGAAAAACAGAGACATGTCTTTTTTTTGTTTCTTTATTTTTTAGCCCACTGTGGGGTCACTTAACATCCCCGTGTTTGAACAGTACACTTCTATTCTGCTTTTACAGCAATCGTTGATGTGCAGGGAAACATCACGGTTAGCAAGCTCACAGCGCAAGTTTTCTTTCTCTGGTCCACATGCGTAATATTTATGTTTTTGTCCATCGAGCCACTCCATAGAGCTTCACCACAAGTAATATTCAATTGCAGCAGAGAATGCAGCAAAGCCTCCACATCCCAGAACATCTGAACACCAACTGCAAAACAGAAAAATAAACACGTGGACAAGATGCATAAATTTGCTGTAATGCAAACTATTAGTTAATAAAGTAAGTTACATACCAGGAAAGCCAATAGCTCCTCCACTCACACTCTCTCTCCCGCTGTTTCCATTTGTTGGTGACAAATGTTGCTGGACTGAGTGTGTGATGCAACATTTCCAGCAGTGCTTGCAGTTGTAAAAATACTATATGCACTGCTAGATGAATATTATGGCTGTTACTGTTTTAGGAGTAATAGATTATTATTATTTTTACTCCTGTTTTTTGTTTCCAGATTAAAACTAAATAAAGAAAATGTTGGTTGGGAATATATTGTCACGTTGAGGCTAAAAATCTATGTTAACCTCCATCCCCCTTTAAAAAAAATCAAAATGCTCTCATTTTGTCTCTCTATGCTTTAAGATCTGCATTAGAGTATAATATTTTAACTAAAATTCTTGAAACTTAAAATATTGCTTCATATTGTCATCTCCATGATTCTGCAATCACTGGAATTTATTCTCTTTATACCATGTCTTTAAATCATTCACAATATCAATAGTGTCTCCCATCCAGAGCAACATCTGGAAATTTGACATTTCAAATCTCGACATGCTGCTCCCTCTGGTGGTAACTGCACTACATTCAGCCACAGACCTTTACTGAGTTTACAGAAAATGCTGCACTGATGAAGAACTGTGATCTATATCCTACTATGTAAACAAAGTAACACAATGCCCTTTCAAATAAATATGCTAACAGTAGACTAAGCTTTCATTTTTCTATCATTAATTTAACTATAAATTAGCATAAATAAATATCAGAGGCCTAATTAACCTTTTAAGCCCCAAAGGGCTTTCTGAGCTTCCTGCTCAACAATGACATGCACCAAATAAATGGAGTATTTCTCTGCAATTACAAACTCTGAGTAAACAGTCGTGGTATCGAAATAAGGTTAACACTTGTGATATTTAATCAACTGACTGTTGTTTTGGGATAAACTTATTTGTGTTTTTAATTGACATATTTCAAAATATTATTACTATATTTAATAGCATAGTAAAATCAAAAGTACCCCATGGCTGAGTGTGTGACATTGTCTCTTAGAAGTACCCCCCCTCACTCACACACAGGTAATATTTACATTACATTACATTACATACAGGTACTGCTTGCCTTTCAGTTTCATTTGTAAATTGTTATTTAAAGTAAATGTGCATTTAAATATTTCGTTAATCATTTACTTAGAATTTTTAAAAGATACCATGAGTCATTAACAACACACAAGTAACTGCTTTGCAGTTGGTGTGATACTTTATTTAGAAATGTTAATCGACTGTCTGATCACAGCAAACTAGGAACGACAGTCTGTACAGTTGAATGTCACTGGCATAAAAATGATTTTTTTAAATTTTTTTTTAAAAAGGCCCAAAAAAGATTGATAGCGGCTAAAGGAAACTTGTAAAAGGAGAATAACAATTGACCCAGAATCTAACCCGACTGGTTAAACATGCAGTGTAAGATCAGAATCTGCTTGCAAGAAAGAGAATGTTCTTCCAGACAGTCATTTTCAGTACAACCTTTTTCATTTATACAGTTTTATGTATCACATGACACCTTGTATCTAATGACATGGCCTTTGAGTGCCATTGAGCACAGTTTAAAATGGTACAACCAACCTGAGTACAGTTACTGACCATGTCCATTCAGGATCATTCAGGATCACGGTCTTACCCATCTTATGAGGTCTGCTGCCAGCAGGATACTATGCCATGTCACACAGCTCAAATCACAAATTTCAAACTGGTTTTCTTGAGCATGAAAATGAGTTCACTTTACTCACATGACCTCCAAAGTTACTAGATCTCAGTCTATAGAGCACCTTTGGTATGTGGTGGAATGGTAGATTTTTATCATAGATGAGCAATCTTTCCAGTGCCTTGTTGACTCTATGTTACAGAGTAAAAGCAGTTCTGAAGGCAAAAAGGGGTTCATCCTGGTGCTAGCAAGGCATACGCGATACAAGTCCCAGTGCCGATGATGCATCTTCACTGTACTTAGCCTTGAATGAAAGATTTTTGAAGCAAAAATAAAACAGAAATAAAATAATGTTATCACCACAATCAGATAGCAAAGACTAGCTCTTCTTTATTGTAAAACAGGCCTAACTTTGCTTTTATTCTTTATTTGATGCGGGTGACTTCATAGTGACTGGAACGGCTGATAATACTTGTAAAGCTGCATACACACTGAAAGTGATTTGCAGTGACGTGGTGATGAGAGACCACAGAAAGTAAACGATATTCACTTCAAGTGACTTTGGGCAAAAAAACAAAAAAACAAAGTGGCTATCACCTATTTTTCACAGGTGATAGCCACTTTGTTTTCTGAACTTTCGGGCGAGAGACTGAAGCAACTACCAATGAGAGTGAAGAAATGCACTGATTGACATCTGACCTTTTAGTAAATACAAAGGGGATCACCTAGGTAACCTGAATCTGGAATGTCCAAAAGCATAGAGCCTTTAGCTTCAAAGCGATGCGCGATGAGCAAATTGCTTGCAGTGTATACAAGGCTTTAAAGTACTTATAATTCAAAGATGGTTCAGAGACAACCTTTTTTAACTTAGAGGTCATTCTTTTTTGTAAAAACAACAACAACAACAAACAAACAAACAAAAAAACATTCCTTAATCACCATGACTGAACTAGCAGCAGGTTTTGGATTTAAATGAGCAGCACAGGGCTCAATGTATAGAAAATGACTCCAAGGTCACTTTAGATGAACAATAGTGAGAGCAGGAGTCTACTGATCATACTGCATCCTCAGAAGCGACAGCAGAAGATTAGTCTGTTCTGCTACCGTGCTCACAGAATCAAGTAGTGGATCACCTACACCGGTGAATGTCACCATGGTGGGACTTGATGGGTCTTCTGCATCAATCTGAAAAAACCCAAAACAATACAAAAGTTAGAGAGACATATTAGTAAAAGAGCTGCAGCAAAGTGTTCAACACCAAGCAAACATCCCCTTTGTGGGGGTACTGTGGGCAGACCAACACAGCCCACAAGTTGGCAAGCCCACTATGGGTTGCTGACAGAGTGCCCACAGAATTCCCCAAAAGAGAAACAGTTCTTTGGGCCCCACATAGGCTAGATTACAGAGGCCCCACATGCGCAAGTCCAGTGTGGAGTCCCCACAGAATTCCCTCCTCGGGGCCCAACAGGAGGGAATTATATTGGCAGGTTCGGAGCATGTCCCAGACTGGTTACCTTCAACAAAGTTTCAGAGTGAACAGGGGTATTTAGTCCAAGGAGGCAGTCTCCACGTCTCATTAGCCAGTCTCCAGTACCTCCTCCTCAAGATGAAGGCTGCTGCTTTAGGCTGCCTTTGCCTGGTAAAAATACCCTTCTTGTTCCCCACCACACGATGGATTGCTGTAGACAGACAATTAAATATCATTGTTACAGGGCAGAATATAATAAGGTGACTGAATAAAGCTGCAAGTACTAAGTATTAAATATTAAGATAATTTAAGACAATTGTTTGGTATTTACAATTTGTGCAAAAACTTGTGCAGTGCAGATTTAAATTGGTTAAAGTGACAGTGTGTAGAATCCAGTAGTTGTAGTGTGTGTCAAATGGTGTGTGTAAAATGTCAAGAGGGGTCATTTCTTTCCACAGAAGTTCATCTAGAAACTTGACTATGTTGCCATTTTGTTTTATAGCCCAGATTTCCTTTTGAGTTTCCCTTTAATCTCCTGATATAAATTATCACCTAGGAGGAAAAGAGCTCTCATCTTTAGACAAAACATAGGCTATACTGTATACTATCAGTACTGTAGAAACAGGAAAAACAGCAGCAGTTCTGGTTCTACAGGTTGCTTGATTTTGAAGCTGCAGTACCTTGTGCAGTCATGAAGTCTGCAAAGTTCCAGATGAGTTCACCAATAACATACTGCTTCCTCTTCTGGTCAAACACATCATGGTAGCTCTGCAGGAGAGCATTCTGGTACTCCTCAGTGAACATCATGGGCGGATCCTGTAGAGTGACAGTAAAACTTGTTAAAGATGCTGAAGTGACATGTGACTAGGTCACTGAGTGAGTGAGTTTATTCTCACCATGTGAAGCCCTGGAAGTGCATCTGCTCCATATTCACTCTGGATTATGGGTTTCTTGTACTTTCCATACCAGTTCTCAAACTGAGCGTTGAGCTGAATAGGAATGACCTCCAAGTGGCCTGGATCATGGTACCAGGAGAAGTAACTGTTTACACATACAACATCTACAAAGGGAGCCTAGATGGCGGGAAAAAAAAATTAGATTTAAAATATTTTAGAGGTATTCTTCAACATGATGACGACATATTTTTTAAAAATATTTTAAAGGCCACAAGAGAACTCCACCTTCTTGAGCTTTCCTTTATTATTCATGTACAAGCTTAAAGCATATTTGTTGTTAGACAAAAATTGTAAAATGTATTTCCATAAAACTTTGTGTACTCGCACAGCCATTCCTTCATGCATGGATTTTAAGGGATTCCCGTGGGGTGGGGGGGGGTGGGGTCACAGGTGGAGGCTTGTTGCTAAATTGTAAATTGCTACTTAAGGGTGGTCTTAAAGTGCTGTGCATCTTTTGCTAGTTTAATATATTCTTGATAGTGAGGTGAAGGCTGTGGAAGCTCACCCCTTTGTCCCTGGCATAGTTACTGTCTGTGATGTAGGTGACAGGTCGGGTATGATCCAGAGCTTTGGTATGCTTTATCAAAGTCCTGCAAGGAAAACAAATGTTGTTGACGTTGATATACCTGAGGAGTCACCAGGATTATCAGATGCATAGTTAGAATGTCACATAATCGATGACAGAAAAACATTTCTTTTCTATCAATCGTGGCTCAAGAGTTGGGCGTTCGCTTTGTAATCGGAAGGTTGCCGGTTCGAGCCCCGGCTTGGTCTCGGTCGTTGTGTCCTTGGGCAAGACACTTCACCCGTTGCCTACTGGTGGTGGTCAGAGGGCCCGGTGGCGCCAGTGTCCGGCAGCCTCGCCTCTGTCAGTGCGCCCCAGGGTGGCTGTGGCTACAATGTAGTCCCAACCTCAGCACATCCATCTGCTGTGGTGACTCCATGTGAAATATGAGAGCAGCCACAAGTACCAGTTTAATCTGAACTATTTTATTCTCTTAGGCCTTCAGCATGACAGATCATATGTTTGAATTACCATTTAAATTTACAGTTTAAAAACAAATTGAACCATCTGGCATCATGTTGCTTGATTGTGTAGTGATGACTATTTGAACAGTGGCTATAATAAGTGCTTTACACCTCAAAAGAAAAATAACCTGTACTCACTTGAAATAAAATTCAGCAGGAGGCATCTCTGAGGCGGGCTCATTGGCTACCGACCACATGACCACAGAGGGATGGTTCTTGTCCCGGCGCACAAGCTCGTCCATGACAACCAAGTGGTGAGACAGAGAGGCGTTTCGCAAAACTGCGACTATCAGCAAGGCACAAAAGATACAACTCAGCCTGAGCTGAAAGACTAACAACTTAGATCAATCCATCTTTTGGGCTCTACAGAGACCACAAGACAAAGCTAGCACGTGCAAAGTAAGACCTAAGTACAACTAGGGATGGGTATCGTTTAGGTTTTATCCGATACCGGTGCCAAACCGGTACTTTTGAAACGGTGCTGGTGCTTAAACGGTGCTCAAACCGGTGCTTAAAGAATGGAGAACACAAAATTGGTCCAAAAACCTCTCATGTTCAGCTGTTTTTTTTGTAAAAAGATAACAATGTTAGCCTTTTCTGCAGCTAGGGGATATATGGCATCACTCTTGGCTGGAAGCAGTGCTTAAACAATGGAAAAAAAACACAAACTTTGTCCAAAAACCTCTCATGTTTTTCCACTTTTTCTTTGGTCATTTTAGCCTTTTTGGCCAGGGTGAAGGGAGTATCTGCCATCAAACAAGAAGACAGCCGCATGTAACTACGGTGTTTGCTAGTTCACCTTACATGCATTAATGTAATAACGTGGTTAGCCTACTCAACGTAAATTACACACGAACAACATTAAGCTACTCACGCAGAGAAGAACGGCTGCTGCTGCCATCATCATCCGTCATCATTTCTGCTACACTGGCAGGGCTAGGGGCCAGGACTCTACTCTTCGGGTTTTTGGGGGATGTTGCTAACTCCGGGTCCGATAACAGGCAACCCACCCGCAGTAGATGTGCTCGGTGTGAGGTCTCGCAGCAAGCTATCAAATACGGCGCATTTCTGGGCTTTTAAAAAAAACGCTATGCGTCGCCAGGTGTTTCATCGGATTTGAGGTGTTACCTCCTTTGACAGTATCACAGTATCAGCTTAAAGCACTTGTTGCTGCTGAGTTTGCATATTTTGCTGTGAAGTACAGCCAGACTTTTGACCGCTTCGCCTTGGACATTTTTAATCTGTAGCTCTGCTCTAACAGAACGTACGTACCTGGCCCCGCCTACTATCCTCGGAAACGTAAAATGATTGGCTAGAAGTGTATCACAGCTCAGGAAAAAAAAGCACCGAAATAAAGCACAGAAATGTGCGCTGCTTTTCGGTCTGGTTACTACCGTTTATGTCAGAACCGGTACCATCATGGCACCGGATACCGGTACCCATCCCTACTTGTGCCGAGTCACAGGATTGCCATACCAATATGTAAGTTTCTCCATATCTTCACACATTGTAACACAGAATTTCTCACTGTTGACCTCAAGCATACTCATGGGCTACAGAGATGCGTTTAGTGACACTTACATGTCTTTGATGCCAACACCTGGGCACTCATCTATCACCACAATCCCATGACGGTCACACATCTGCAGGATCTCCTCAGCATAGGGGTAGTGGCTGGTACGGAACGAGTTGGCTCCCAACCACTTAATTAAGTTAAAGTCCTTTACAATTAGGGGCCAGTCCAATCCTTTACCTCGAATCTACAACACATTAAAACCAGGAAAATAAAGATGAGGTCATCAAATTAAGTCTATCTTAATTGTGATTCAAATTAATGTTGACACATTGTTTCAAAGACAAATAAGACAGAGTCATCCTGTATTTTCATCCCTCTAGTGGTACTCACATCAGAGTCCTCATGTTTATTAACACCATGGAAATAAAACGGCTTGTTGTTAATGAGGAACTGGGTCTTGGTAACGTTGACTGTGCGGATGCCGACTGGCAGAGTATACAAATCTTCATATGTTGATGTCTCACTGACTGCTATTAGGTGGACCTAGAGGTTAAAGTACAAATGGTAGAAATGTTGTTCTTTACATCTTCTTCAGCAGACATGATGTCACCAGAAATGTAGCAGTTGGCACCAATACCAGTAGAACTGTGCAATTCTCTATAGCCAATTTGATTTCAAAACAAAACCACGATCCCACGTAATTACACAAACTGCTTTCAAACAGACATGGCAGCACATCATTTATTTAAAATGTTATTATGTTTATGTCAACAAGACACCGACTAAAATGTTAGGATGGTTGCTGAGAAGCTTACTAATATTAGCATAAGAATAAGCTAACATTACATTAGCATAAGCATTTCATGTTAAAGTGAAATATATTTAATTTACTCAACAGGTATTCTTGGTGTGTTTTGTGATTGCTAGTATTTCAATTTTCCAGTATAAGAGAGGTTTAGCAGCAGATTAGTATCAAGTATAATAATATTTATATATTTTTAAATCACAAGGTTAATACACGCACATTCTTGTGACAATGCAACACACAGTTTAGGGTTCATTCAGTGGTTTTTGTAAGATACAGCTTAACAAGCTGCGAATATAAAAAGTATTCCCCCAGCAGAGAATCTATAATGCACTTAAAACATGCTGTGAATAAAAGAATCAGGGAAAATGTGGCACTTTCAGTTGAATTGAAACTTGCATATTAGGCTAATGTTTATAGAACAATAAATTTAAAAAAAAATCAAAGATTAAAGTTGCTTCTAAGACAAAGAGAGAATTAGAGTCATTGTCACAATATCAATGTTGGAGGTGGTCCCCCTCCGAGCAACATCTCGGTTGAATGGGGTTCGAACCATATGTCAGAATGAGCGTCTGGCTCAATGTTGACTCGCTGCGTGTGAGAAATCTCGACATGCTGCTCCCTCTGGTGGAAACTGCACTACATTCAGCCACAGACCTTTACTGAGTTTACAGAAAATGCTGCACTGATGAAGAACTGTGATCTATATCCTACTATGTAAACAAAGTAACACAATGCCCTTTCAAATAAATATGCTAACAGTAGACTAAGCTTTCATTTTTCTATCATTAATTTAACTATAAATTAGCATAAATAAATATCAGAGGCCTAATTAACCTTTTAAGCCCCAAAGGGCTTTCTGAGCTTCCTGCTCAACAATGACATGCACCAAATAAATGGAGTATTTCTCTGCAATTACAAACTCTGAGTAAACAGTCGTGGTATTGAAATAAGGTTAACACTTGTGATATTTAATCAACTGACTGTTGTTTTGGGATAAACTTATTTGTGTTTTTAATTGACATATTTCAAAATATTATTACTATATTTAATAGCATAGTAAAATCAAAAGTACCCCATGGCTGAGTGTGTGACATTGTCTCTTAGAAGTACCCCCCCTCACTCACACACAGGTAATATTTACATTACATTACATTACATACAGGTACTGCTTGCCTTTCAGTTTCATTTGTAAATTGTTATTTAAAGTAAATGTGCATTTAAATATTTCGTTAATCATTTACTTAGAATTTTTAAAAGATACCATGAGTCATTAACAACACACAAGTAACTGCTTTGCAGTTGGTGTGATACTTTATTTAGAAATGTTAATCGACTGTCTGATCACAGCAAACTAGGAACGACAGTCTGTACAGTTGAATGTCACTGGCATAAAAATGATTTTTTTAAATTTTTTTTTAAAAAGGCCCAAAAAAGATTGATAGCGGCTAAAGGAAACTTGTAAAAGGAGAATAACAATTGACCCAGAATCTAACCCGACTGGTTAAACATGCAGTGTAAGATCAGAATCTGCTTGCAAGAAAGAGAATGTTCTTCCAGACAGTCATTTTCAGTACAACCTTTTTCATTTATACAGTTTTATGTATCACATGACACCTTGTATCTAATGACATGGCCTTTGAGTGCCATTGAGCACAGTTTAAAATGGTACAACCAACCTGAGTACAGTTACTGACCATGTCCATTCAGGATCATTCAGGATCACGGTCTTACCCATCTTATGAGGTCTGCTGCCAGCAGGATACTATGCCATGTCACACAGCTCAAATCACAAATTTCAAACTGGTTTTCTTGAGCATGAAAATGAGTTCACTTTACTCACATGACCTCCAAAGTTACTAGATCTCAGTCTATACCTTTGGTATGTGGTGGAATGGTAGATTTTTATCATAGATGAGCAATCTTTCCAGTGCCTTGTTGACTCTATGTTACAGAGTAAAAGCAGTTCTGAAGGCAAAAAGGGGTTCATCCTGGTGCTAGCAAGGCATACGCGATACAAGTCCCAGTGCCGATGATGCATCTTCACTTTACTTAGCCTTGAATGAAAGATTTTTGAAGCAAAAATAAAACAGAAATAAAATAATGTTATCACCACAATCAGATCTCTAGCTTTTTTGTACATGTAAAATAATGTTATCACCACAATCAGATAGCAAAGACTAGCTCTTCTTTATTGTAAAACAGGCCTAACTTTGCTTTTATTCTTTATTTGATGCGGGTGACTTCATAGTGACTGGAACGGCTGATAATACTTGTAAAGCTGCATACACACTGAAAGTGATTTGCAGTGACGTGGTGATGAGAGACCACAGAAAGTAAACGATATGCACTTCAAGTGACTTTGGGCAAAAAAAAAAAAAAAAAAAAAAAATGGCTATCACCTATTTTTCGCAGGTGATAGCCACTTTGTTTTCTGAACTTTCGGGCGAGAGACTGAAGCAACTACCAATGAGAGTGAAGAAATGCACTGATTGACATCTGACCTTTTAGTAAATACAAAGGGGATCACCTAGGTAACCTGAATCTGGAATGTCCAAAAGCATAGAGCCTTTAGCTTCAAAGCGATGCGCGATGAGCAAATTGCTTGCAGTGTATACAAGGCTTTAAAGTACTTATAATTCAAAGATGGTTCAGAGACAACCTTTTTTAACTTAGAGGTCATTCTTTTTTGTAAAAACAACAACAACAACAAACAAACAAACAAAAAAACATTCCTTAATCACCATGACTGAACTAGCAGCAGGTTTTGGATTTAAATGAGCAGCACAGGGCTCAATGTATAGAAAATGACTCCAAGGTCACTTTAGATGAACAATAGTGAGAGCAGGAGTCTACTGATCATACTGCATCCTCAGAAGCGACAGCAGAAGATTAGTCTGTTCTGCTACCGTGCTCACAGAATCAAGTAGTGGATCACCTGTCACCATGGTGGGACTTGATGGGTCTTCTGCATCAATCTGAAAAAACCCAAAACAATACAAAAGTTAGAGAGACATATTAGTAAAAGAGCTGCAGCAAAGTGTTCAACACCAAGCAAACATCCCCTTTGTGGGGGTACTGTGGGCAGACCAACACAGCCCACAAGTTGGCAAGCCCACTATGGGTTGCTGACAGAGTGCCCACAGAATTCCCCAAAAGAGAAACAGTTCTTTGGGCCCCACATAGGCTAGATTACAGAGGCCCCACATGCGCAAGTCCAGTGTGGAGTCCCCACAGAATTCCCTCCTCGGGGCCCAACAGGAGGGAATTATATTGGCAGGTTCGGAGCATGTCCCAGACTGGTTACCTTCAACAAAGTTTCAGAGTGAACAGGGGTATTTAGTCCAAGGAGGCAGTCTCCACGTCTCATTAGCCAGTCTCCAGTACCTCCTCCTCAAGATGAAGGCTGCTGCTTTAGGCTGCCTTTGCCTGGTAAAAATACCCTTCTTGTTCCCCACCACACGATGGATTGCTGTAGACAGACAATTAAATATCATTGTTACAGGGCAGAATATAATAAGGTGACTGAATAAAGCTGCAAGTACTAAGTATTAAATATTAAGATAATTTAAGACAATTGTTTGGTATTTACAATTTGTGCAAAAACTTGTGCAGTGCAGATTTAAATTGGTTAAAGTGACAGTGTGTAGAATCCAGTAGTTGTAGTGTGTGTCAAATGGTGTGTGTAAAATGTCAAGAGGGGTCATTTCTTTCCACAGAAGTTCATCTAGAAACTTGACTATGTTGCCATTTTGTTTTATAGCCCAGATTTCCTTTTGAGTTTCCCTTTAATCTCCTGATATAAATTATCACCTAGGAGGAAAAGAGCTCTCATCTTTAGACAAAACATAGGCTATACTGTATACTATCAGTACTGTAGAAACAGGAAAAACAGCAGCAGTTCTGGTTCTACAGGTTGCTTGATTTTGAAGCTGCAGTACCTTGTGATGTCATGAAGTCTGCAAAGTTCCAGATGAGTTCACCAATGAAATACTGATTCCTCTTCTGGTCGAACACATCATGGTAGCTCTGCAGGAGAGCATTCTGGTACTCCTCAGTGAACATCATGGGTGGATCCTAAAAAGTGACAGTAAGACTTGTTAAAGGTGCAGAACTGACTAGTGAGTGGAGTGAGTTAGTGAGTGAGTGTATTCTTACCATGTGAAGCCCTGGAAGTGCATCTGCTCCATATTCACTCTGGATTATGGGTTTCTTGTACTTTCCATACCAGTTCTCAAACTGAGCGTTGAGCTGAATAGGAATGACCTCCAAGTGGCCTGGATCATGGTACCAGGAGAAGTAACTGTTTACACATACAACATCTACAAAGGGAGCCTAGATGGCGGGAAAAAAAAATTAGATTTAAAATATTTTAGAGGTATTCTTCAACATGATGACGACATATTTTTTAAAAATATTTTAAAGGCCACAAGAGAACTCCACCTTCTTGAGCTTTCCTTTATTATTCATGTACAAGCTTAAAGCATATTTGTTGTTAGACAAAAATTGTAAAATGTATTTCCATAAAACTTTGTGTACTCGCACAGCCATTCCTTCATGCATGGATTTTAAGGGATTCCCGTGGGGTGGGGGGGGGTGGGGTCACAGGTGGAGGCTTGTTGCTAAATTGTAAATTGCTACTTAAGGGTGGTCTTAAAGTGCTGTGCATCTTTTGCTAGTTTAATATATTCTTGATAGTGAGGTGAAGGCTGTGGAAGCTCACCCCTTTGTCCCTGGCATAGTTACTGTCTGTGATGTAGGTGACAGGTCGGGTATGGTCCAGAGCTTTGGTATGCTTTATCAAAGTCCTGCAAGGAAAACAAATGTTGTTGACGTTGATATACCTGAGGAGTCACCAGGATTATCAGATGCATAGTTAGAATGTCACATAATCGATGACAGAAAAACATTTCTTTTCTATCAATCGTGGCTCAAGAGTTGGGCGTTCGCTTTGTAATCGGAAGGTTGCCGGTTCGAGCCCCGGCTTGGTCTCGGTCGTTGTGTCCTTGGGCAAGACACTTCACCCGTTGCCTACTGGTGGTGGTCAGAGGGCCCGGTGGCGCCAGTGTCCGGCAGCCTCGCCTCTGTCAGTGCGCCCCAGGGTGGCTGTGGCTACAATGTAGTCCCAACCTCAGCACATCCATCTGCTGTGGTGACTCCATGTGAAATATGAGAGCAGCCACAAGTACCAGTTTAATCTGAACTATTTTATTCTCTTAGGCCTTCAGCATGACAGATCATATGTTTGAATTACCATTTAAATTTACAGTTTAAAAACAAATTGAACCATCTGGCATCATGTTGCTTGATTGTGTAGTGATGACTATTTGAACAGTGGCTATAATAAGTGCTTTACACCTCAAAAGAAAAATAACCTGTACTCACTTGAAATAAAATTCAGCAGGAGGCATCTCTGAGGCGGGCTCATTGGCTACCGACCACATGACCACAGAGGGATGGTTCTTGTCCCGGCGCACAAGCTCGTCCATGACAACCAAGTGGTGAGACAGAGAGGCGTTTCGCAAAACTGCGACTATCAGCAAGGCACAAAAGATACAACTCAGCCTGAGCTGAAAGACTAACAACTTAGATCAATCCATCTTTTGGGCTCTACAGAGACCACAAGACAAAGCTAGCACGTGCAAAGTAAGACCTAAGTACAACTAGGGATGGGTATCGTTTAGGTTTTATCCGATACCGGTGCCAAACCGGTACTTTTGAAACGGTGCTGGTGCTTAAACGGTGCTCAAACCGGTGCTTAAAGAATGGAGAACACAAAATTGGTCCAAAAACCTCTCATGTTCAGCTGTTTTTTTTGTAAAAAGATAACAATGTTAGCCTTTTCTGCAGCTAGGGGATATATGGCATCACTCTTGGCTGGAAGCAGTGCTTAAACAATGGAAAAAAAACACAAACTTTGTCCAAAAACCTCTCATGTTTTTCCACTTTTTCTTTGGTCATTTTAGCCTTTTTGGCCAGGGTGAAGGGAGTATCTGCCATCAAACAAGAAGACAGCCGCATGTAACTACGGTGTTTGCTAGTTCACCTTACATGCATTAATGTAATAACGTGGTTAGCCTACTCAACGTAAATTACACACGAACAACATTAAGCTACTCACGCAGAGAAGAACGGCTGCTGCTGCCATCATCATCCGTCATCATTTCTGCTACACTGGCAGGGCTAGGGGCCAGGACTCTACTCTTCGGGTTTTTGGGGGATGTTGCTAACTCCGGGTCCGATAACAGGCAACCCACCCGCAGTAGATGTGCTCGGTGTGAGGTCTCGCAGCAAGCTATCAAATACGGCGCATTTCTGGGCTTTTAAAAAAAACGCTATGCGTCGCCAGGTGTTTCATCGGATTTGAGGTGTTACCTCCTTTGACAGTATCACAGTATCAGCTTAAAGCACTTGTTGCTGCTGAGTTTGCATATTTTGCTGTGAAGTACAGCCAGACTTTTGACCGCTTCGCCTTGGACATTTTTAATCTGTAGCTCTGCTCTAACAGAACGTACGTACCTGGCCCCGCCTACTATCCTCGGAAACGTAAAATGATTGGCTAGAAGTGTATCACAGCTCAGGAAAAAAAAGCACCGAAATAAAGCACAGAAATGTGCGCTGCTTTTCGGTCTGGTTACTACCGTTTATGTCAGAACCGGTACCATCATGGCACCGGATACCGGTACCCATCCCTACTTGTGCCGAGTCACAGGATTGCCATACCAATATGTAAGTTTCTCCATATCTTCACACATTGTAACACAGAATTTCTCACTGTTGACCTCAAGCATACTCATGGGCTACAGAGATGCGTTTAGTGACACTTACATGTCTTTGATGCCAACACCTGGGCACTCATCTATCACCACAATCCCATGACGGTCACACATCTGCAGGATCTCCTCAGCATAGGGGTAGTGGCTGGTACGGAACGAGTTGGCTCCCAACCACTTAATTAAGTTAAAGTCCTTTACAATTAGGGGCCAGTCCAATCCTTTACCTCGAATCTACAACACATTAAAACCAGGAAAATAAAGATGAGGTCATCAAATTAAGTCTATCTTAATTGTGATTCAAATTAATGTTGACACATTGTTTCAAAGACAAATAAGACAGAGTCATCCTGTATTTTCATCCCTCTAGTGGTACTCACATCAGAGTCCTCATGTTTATTAACACCATGGAAATAAAACGGCTTGTTGTTAATGAGGAACTGGGTCTTGGTAACGTTGACTGTGCGGATGCCGACTGGCAGAGTATACAAATCTTCATATGTTGATGTCTCACTGACTGCTATTAGGTGGACCTAGAGGTTAAAGTACAAATGGTAGAAATGTTGTTCTTTACATCTTCTTCAGCAGACATGATGTCACCAGAAATGTAGCAGTTGGCACCAATACCAGTAGAACTGTGCAATTCTCTATAGCCAATTTGATTTCAAAACAAAACCACGATCCCACGTAATTACACAAACTGCTTTCAAACAGACATGGCAGCACATCATTTATTTAAAATGTTATTATGTTTATGTCAACAAGACACCGACTAAAATGTTAGGATGGTTGCTGAGAAGCTTACTAATATTAGCATAAGAATAAGCTAACATTACATTAGCATAAGCATTTCATGTTAAAGTGAAATATATTTAATTTACTCAACAGGTATTCTTGGTGTGTTTTGTGATTGCTAGTATTTCAATTTTCCAGTATAAGAGAGGTTTAGCAGCAGATTAGTATCAAGTATAATAATATTTATATATTTTTAAATCACAAGGTTAATACACGCACATTCTTGTGACAATGCAACACACAGTTTAGGGTTCATTCAGTGGTTTTTGTAGCTACAGCTTAACAAGCTGCGAATATAAAAAGTATTCCCCCAGCAGAGAATCTATAATGCACTTAAAACATGCTGTGAATAAAAGAATCAGGGAAAATGTGGCACTTTCAGTTGAATTGAAACTTGCATATTAGGCTAATGTTTATAGAACAATAAATTTAAAAAAAAATCAAAGATTAAAGTTGCTTCTAAGACAAAGTCATTAGATCCAAATAAAAATAGCAAAAACCCAGGTTTAACCCTTAAGTTACCTGGATAAGTCAAAATCCTGGTTTCCGCTTTTCCTCGTGGTACATAAACTGTGATTTTTACACTGTTTACACTCTACTAACCAATTAATAAAAGATCATTACTTCTTAACAACCCCCCTTAATGAGCCTCACAAATCTAATGGCCATATTGTCAAACCACATCACACTGCAGAAACACACCTACATGCCTGTGAGCATGTTGCCTTACCTTCATAGAATAAAGGTAACCTGGATTCTCGTGCATCAAGTACGGCCACCACAGCTTCACATCTACCACTTTAAGCCCTCCAGATGACCCATTGGAGGAGGCCACAAAGTGGCCATCTTTGTCCATTAGAGTAATGTTCAGAGTGTTGTTGAAGCCACCTTGAACAGATACTTTGTATCTGACAAGACCTACAATGCAGAGGAAACAGCAACATCTAATAGTAATAGCACATTCAATCTGTATTGTATTAATGTGGATCCTATTCACTATGTTTTTGCACAGTTCTAAAAAAAAAAAAAGTTGGT